GGCCTTCACCATCACCCTCCTCTGAAGTTTCTTCCCCACTTCCAGATTCTGAACCACTGCCCTCTTCCTCCTCGGATGACTCCCAGAGATAGCTTCGCTCGTCAAAAAGATCTATAAAAGGGATCCCACCCGTCATGGTGGCCTCCAGGACTTTGAGAACCGCTTGGTTGATGATATCTTGGAGCGCTACGAGGATTTTGTTTTCTTCTAAGAAATCCAAAGCGTGGAAGGGCTCTTGGGTGGCGTAATACAGTGGGATGCAACGCGGGGTAGGCCGTTTCAAGACGCTGGTGATTTCCTTGTGGAGCGATTCGAGTGAAAACGACTCTTGTGGAAGGGCTTTCTTGAGTTTGGCAAAATAATCTCTCCTGGGCTGTTCCATGGACTTGGCTAACTTGGCCCAGACATGCAAGTGCTCTTGCCAGAAGAAGTAGCTGTCTCCCGACTGTTCGGAAAACGTCTGCGGGTGAGGAAGAGCGAGAGCGAAAACAATCAGTGGAGAACGAGTTTATGCTAGTAATCCCACAAAGGGGCGTCTTTGGGGACGGCAGGAGAAGAAGTGGGAAAGAGACAGTCCCTGTTTCCTATAGGGCGGCAGGGGTGTCCAGAGGGGGAGTCAAAAAAGTCAAGGCGGCACCGGTGGCCTTGGCATCAAAGCCCCACCCTTTAAATGTCTGTGGCATGTGAATTTTGCATGCATTGTGGTGGCACAATCTTGGGGAGGGGGCTGCAAAAGAAACAAGCCCAGGGTATGTTTGTGTCAGTCCTTCGAGGTAGACCAGACTTGGAAACCAAAGTTATGAACGCTACAACTACTTTTATCATAGGGTTACAGCTACAGAATCTTGCAGGTATGAAAGAGCCTCCCCGCTCTCTTATCTCCAAGAGAACTAGGGAGGGTCAATTCTGAGACACTTTCTCTCATTACATTTCTGCCCAGACTCAAATTTCTTTTATCTAATCTTTGTCTTAGTTGTGGCTCTTCCTCCTGTTCCTCAAGGTCATTCTCACAGTCCCTTGTATCATGTAACTTGCAGACTTCCCATCAACCCAGGTTGGTCATCCCTTAGTCCTGACCCTTTTTAGTACTGGGGGCTGAAAATCGGGTGCAGGAATTTATTTTCCTGAGCAGGATCCCACCACCCCGATGCAAACCTTTGGGTCCAATGAATTGCATTGTGAGGGGGAAATTCCACTGGCTTAAAAATACCTCAGCATGGAGTCCTCCAGACAGTTCCCGCACAGCCTTCTTTCCATCTTTGGGGAGCCTGGCAACATACTTATCCAAGAGACATATTTTGCCCCCTGATTTCGACTCCCCTCCACTCGTGAAGCGCTTTTCCTGGTCATCGTCCGAGCTGGAGGTCGTGGTGGTTTGATATTTTATCTGGGAGTGCATTGAACTGTAGGAATAAGTCCACGACTCACTGTCCACACTTGAGCGGGAATCTTCTTGGATGTCAAACACGGGATCCCCGCTCTGGGTTGTCATGTCGCGAAGCTTCCGGACGGCGTCCTCCACAATCAGCTGAAGGCTGTCCAGGACCTCCTCATCTGCTAAGAAGTCCACAAACTCTGAAAATTCGTTGGCCAGATGGCTGGGTCTCCCATTGCTGCTGCTGCTGCTGCTCTGGTAGTGTTTCCGCTTCCCTTGGTCTCCCCGGGAAAAATTGTTGAAAGTCCCGGTGGAGGTGGGTGAACGTTGATTTCGGAACTGACAGCGAGACGGGGGCCTAAGCAGGCTTCTCCAATCGCAGGGGCTTCTTCTTGAACTGGCGTGGGCGTTTCTGTCCTACAAGAGAGCAAAGGGGGCAGCAGGCAATAAAGGAATAAGGGGTTTAATAAAGAGAAGTGACATCCACATTGAGAAAATGAATCCCTAGAGCAGTGTTTCTCAACCTTGGCGACTTGAAGATGGCTGGGTGGGGAATTCTGGGAGCTGAAGTCCACACATCTTCAAGTTGCTGAGGTTGAGAAACACTGCTCCAGAGAATACCTTTAAACAGAGACTTATTAGAAATAAACAAAATGTCTTGTACTTGCTGGTCAACCCAGCTGCTTCTACTGAGCATATGTTTGGGACACATGTCTCATCCGTCCTGTGATTGGGCCGGCCCCTTTCAGAGGAACTGGGTTAAAATTCAGCTGTTGAAATGAAACCCACTTTCCATTCTGTGATGAACAGTTAACTCTAAATTGGGAACGTAGGGTGGTCCTCCTTCAGACCTGATGCCAACGTTGATTTTGATCGGGAGGAGGGGCTACACTTGATTCAGATGAATTGGACAAGATTTCTTCTGTGTCTTCCTTAGGAGTTGATGTACTCATTGGGGAGCAAAGATGCATTCACTATGGCCAAACCCAAGAATGCTGGAATTCTATGCATGGGAACCCTATAACTTTCCATTTCTGGCCTTTTCTGGGAGCTGAAGTCCACACATCTTAAAGTTGCCAAGGTTGAGAAACACTATCCTAGAAGCAGATGTCAGACCCCACACCGCTGGGCAAGATCAAGCCAGCAAGAACTATACAGATTTCAAGAAAGTCTCTTTAATGTCTTTAAAGATACTGCCAAACTGGGAAGAAATGAGAAGACATTACACCACTTCTGACCAAACTTTTCATTGGTCAGTTGAGTTTGCAGAAAGACCTGCAGAAGTTGAGTAGGTTCTGGGCATCTGCTTAAAAATCTGGGTCTAGATCTGCGTTTGGATTACAGTCAGGAAATGGATGGAGAACTGGTGTTCCCAGAGGCTAATGAGTGATTTTTTTGATGCTGAAGATTTTGGTCCTGTTAACTCCCAGTTTGGTGAGTCCTGTTTCTAGAAAGAGATGCGAAGGGAACTCTTCCTTGGTCCTTACCTGAGGTCTTCTGAAGCTCTCATCATCAGCTAGATAGCCAGAATATTTGCGACTCTCCATAGTGCTGAAAGAACAGCTCCTCCTCCTTCTTCACACCTTCTTCCTCCTTTCCCTGTCCATGGAAGAAAAGAATTTTTAGTCTTATTTATTGCACTGTCCTATTTTTGCTTCCGCACGTGGAACATTTTCGGAGCCCTCTTGATAGGAAAATCATTTTGGCCTGATCCACATAAGATGGCATATTTAACCAGTTGAGACAAGGAGACCCTACTGTGAAGGTTAGCAAGCTTTGCGCGGGCTGCTGCTAAACAGAGAGATGATTTTTATCAAAAGTTCCTCATGTTTTAATCTGCCGTAATAGCAATGTTTCAATGTTCGGACTGAATTTTGCACACTTGAATGTCTGTTCGGTGGCTTTTATGTAGGCTTAACTTATTTGTTACAACTGGTGGTCAAAACAATAAACAGATTGGTTGATTCATTGATAGTCTTATGTTTTTTACAAATAGGAATTTTGGAAGTTGGGAGGGAGACTATCTTGGACAATATCGGTCCCACCATCCCTGAAAGTTTTCCCTCCAAAGAATTGGGAGCTGTTGAAGGAAAAAAATCTCAATAGAAAGGGGGAAATCTCTCTCTTTCTCTGTGTGTGTATCTCCAAAAGAAAAGACAGAAAGAAGAATCCAATGTCAGCAAAATATGGAGGTGTAGGAGTGAAAAAAGAAAAAAATTGAAAAGGTCTTCGTTATGCTCCTTTTGACCTGGTTTCTACACCGCGCTAAGGCATCAATTGGTGAAGTCTGTTTGGTTGAATAAACCACAACTGGTTGGGTTCACACAACCGTGTGGACCCAGAAACCATGGTCTAATAAAGAACAACAGCTGGGTTTATATGACCAAGAACCCTCCAGTGAAAGTGGTTTTCTGTATTGACTCATTTCAGCAACTCAGGTCGCATCTGGCAATGGTGGCTAGACCCTCCATCGAGCATAAAGCTAGCTTATAGCTTGACGAACACCCCCCTTTTGAACATAACAGGGAAAAACCCCAGATGTCCTTACAACGACATTCAGGAAAGTTCGACACCCGGGAGTTAAAGAATGGGAGGGCTTCTACTCTCTGGAGAACTCACCCCGGTCTTCTTCTCGTTGAGAAAAAGCCAAAGGTTTTGCCAACGGGAGAAATCAGTCCAGACGCCAAGCTTCAGGTACAAGACGAAGAGTTGCTTACGGCTTAAGAGAAGAAGAAAGAAGAAGAAAAGAAGCTTCCTTTCCTTTGTTACGTCAGCAGTTCTATTGGGGAGTTTCCAATTCTATCCATTTGCATAAAATAACTTGAGTTTACGCTAGGCCTGTACACAAGACGTTGGAATCCAGAACCCTGACTTGCACGTTTTAGTTCCGAAGCCCAAATCTGCCTCTTAAATGTCCGAATGATTGAATTACTTTTATTCTGTTCTTCAATAGAGTGGGGGGGGGAGTGACATCATTCGCATCAAAGCGGGCATCGTGGCTCGCCCAGGATGGCAATGGCAAACCGTCACCCGCTCCAGGGACTCTGTTCGGTGCCAGCCTCGGAAACATATATTTTTTCAT